TTCATGACCCAATTTGTGAACTCTCCATGGCCTATCTATGGAATTATTTCTTCCTCTCCTCCCACATCCACCAGTATCCAAGCAAAAGGCTAAATATGCAGTAGTTGCTTTATTTAGCACCTACTGTGTACCCAATTATCTATGGTTTGATAGATGGCCTGGATTACCCCTATTTTCCACACTTGAAGCTTAACAATGGCTTGTGGAATGGAATGAAATATCATTTTGATGGAGTTAGAAGTTGTCTTTGGTCAGAAGTCCTAATTCTAGTTTTGGTCTAGACCTAAGGTCAAGTCTTGGCTCTGACACTAATTTCCTTCTGTGGGCTTCAGTTTCTTCATCTACTAAAAGAGAAGGTGGCACCAGGTCTCTAAGGTTCCTTCTAGCACTAAATTTCTATGACTGAGTTCTTTCCCCACATCCGTTTGGGCTCAGGGAAAATGCAAACACAACCTAACTTTGCCATGATTATAAGCCAAATCTAACTAGAAAGAAAAAACAGACAAACACTAAAGCTAAAAGATATATCAATAAAGAGAAGACATTCAGAATGAGGGAAATGATTGTTTCATGACGTTCTGCCCTTGTCAGACAAGATTTGAAGTATTCTATCCAGCTCTGGACACTGCATTTTAAGGAGAAAGGAAGAAAAGAAAGACAAAAACAAGCATTTATTAAGCACCCATGATGTGCAAAGCACTTTGCTAAACACTTTAAAAATATTACTTCATTTGATCCTTGCACCCTTGGGTGATAAATACTATTATTCTCATTTCACAGTTGAGGCAACTGAATCAGACAGAGGTCAAATGGCTTGCCCAGTATCACATAGCTAGTAAGTATTTGAGGTTGGATTTGAACTCATGTCTTTCTGACTATAGGCCCAGCAATCTGGCCACAGTGTCGTCTAGCTACCATGATCATGTCCTGATGAAGGGGAGGCAAAATAGTGAAAGAATTTATGGCCAGGCCATATGAAGACAAAAAGATCATAGATTTAGGCCTGGAAGGGACCTCAAAGATCATCTAACCCAATGCTCCTTAATTTACAAATGGTAAAACTGAGTTCCAATGAAATCTTGCCCAAGATTTTAAGTATATGTTGAAAGAACTGGGGACATATTAAAAAAAAAAGATTTGGAAGTAGAATATAACTGCCTTTAAGTGTCTGAAGGGATGTGAGGTAGTATTTTGTTTAAGGAGCAATGGGTAGCAGTTGTAAAGGAACAATATTTAAACTGATATGAGGGGTGAGGGAATGTTCCAAAGCATTCCTGAGTTTCTGAGGCTACCTCAGGAGGCAGTGAATTCCCCATCACTGGTGGTCCCAAAGAAGAGTCTAGAGGACCACTTACTTGGGATGTTCTACAAAGGATTCTTGTTTAGGTGTGAATTTGATCAGATAAATTCTGTGCTCCCTTCCAACTTGAAGACTTTATGATTCTCAGTGCTTTTCCAGTTGACAGAGTTTTGGCTATAACTATACTAGCCCTGGCCAAGTTCTCCATCATGCAGTGGTGTTAGGGGACAGGACTAATACTTGCCTATGACTAAGATATTTGCAGAAAATAGTAATGTTGCAGAGGACATCATTTGGCCTGTGACTTATTCAAACCTGAATAATAATAAATTTCTTCATAATGAGATCATAATCTTGGCTTTCTTCAAGCTCCAGTGAAAATCTCACCTTCTATAAGAAGTCTTTCCTGATCCTTCCTAATTCCACTAACTTCACTAGAATTAATTATTTCTAATTTATTCTGTATATGGCTTATTTATACATATTCATTTGTCATATACATTGTCTCCCCCTTTAGACTGTGAGTTCCCTGGGAGCAGGCTGTCTTTAACCTTTCTTTGTATCTTTAGTATTTAGCACTGTGCCTAGCACATAGGAGGTGCTTAATAAGTGTTTATTGATGAACTTTCATAGCCAGTCTTCTTTCTGATTATCCTTCCTTTCGTCCCGTTTCCTCACTGACTTATAGATCCTTTTTGCCTTTGATCCTTCTCTCTCTTTCCTATCCTTTGCTCTCACCATTCTGTTCCTCTTTCCTGAAATGCCACTGAACTGAATCATCCCCAAACTTTCAGAGGCCACAGTGTTGTGTCACAGGAAGGTAGGGAACAAGCATTTGTTAAGTGCTGGACATTGGACTAAGAGATGGGATACAAATACAAGAAAAAAGAAAGATAGTCCATGCCTTCAAGGTGCTTACATTCTAATGGGAGAAGATAACATATAAAAGGGAGCTGGAAAGGGGGTTGAGGGCCCAAGTGCAGGGGCATGGTGGTGAAGTCCATAGAGTTAGAAGCACAGCTGGGATGGGAATGAAGCATAGTTAGTTAGCCTGGGCCATCCCCAAAAATGGAAACCTGAGAATGAACTTCCCGATGGGAGAATGGCATTGGCATAGTGGAAGGATATTCTAGGAATATTCCAGAGAAGGAAGCTGAGTCATGGAGGCAAAAAAAAAAAAGTAGAAGCACAGCCAGGAGGGCAAAGATAGTGGTAGAAACAACATAAGATAAATCAGAAATAATCAGAGAAATGCAAATCAAAAAACCGTGAGGTTTCATCTCACACCCTACAAACTGGCAAAGATAATAAAAAACCAGTTACATGTGCATTGTTGGTAAAGCTATAAATTGGTACAATCATTTTGGAAAGTAATTTGGAATTATGCAAATAAAGTGACTAAAATGCCCATACCCTTTGCTTCTTTATTGATTGATTTACCCAAAGATTCCATTACTGAACTTATACCCCATGAAAGCTATTGAGAAGAAGAATGTCCCTATATACAACAAGATATTTATTTATAGCAGCAATTTTTATGATAGCAAAAAATTGGAAACAAAATTGAAGCTTATCAATTGGAGAATGCCTAAACAAATTGTGGTACACGAATGTAAAGGAAAATTACTGTGCTGTAAGAAATGATAAATGTGATGAATATAAAGAAATATGGAAATATCTACATGAACTGATGCAGAGCGAAGTAAGCAGAGCCAAGAAATCAATACACACTATTACAACAATGTAGATGGAAATAGCAACCACACACAAAAACATCAAAAGTGAATGTTGCAGATTTATGGAGAACAACCATGACGTGAAAGAAGAACCAAGAGAAGACACTTTCATCCCGCCCCTCTGTGGAAACGAGAGGTCCACAGGTGTTATACATTGCATACATTTTTGGACTTTTTTAATGTATTGATCAGTCATGCTGAGTTCTCCTTTTTTTTTTCTTTTTTCTTTTAAAAATACTGTGTGTTAATAGGGAAGGCTCTCTAGGAGGGAGAGGAGAAAGAGTATTGAGGAAAAACAAACAAACAAAAAACTATGATGATGTGAAAAACAAGATATCAACAAAAACTTATTAAAACAACAACAACAACAACACAGGACCTGGAAGCATATATTTGGGTTCCAATCATGGTTTTGATACTTAGTAATTCATTGACCCTGGGCAAGTCACTTAACCTCTCTATTCAGTTTTCTCATCTGTAAAATGGGGATAATAATATTTGAATTCCCTACCTTACAGGTTTGTTGTAATGATGATGCTGTGTAAAACTTGAAGTGCTATGCAAATGTGATTTGTTATTGTTGTTATCCATGTAAAAACATCTTTTAGGTATTAACATAAAGTGAAATATAAATGGAGAGATGTATGCTTGCCTAAGGTGTTTTTCAGGGTCATAGATGATGTCCTGAGCAGACTCTAAACAGAAGAGGAATTCCTTGTTAAAGATGAGAGTCTGCAAATGCTTCTATTTGTGTAGGATTTACATAGAGCGAAAGATAGGAAAGAGAGAGAAGTATCAGAGGCAAAAAGGTCAATTGAGAAGACAGTGAGGAAATGAGACTAAAGGGAGGATAACCAGAAAGCAGGTTGGATATGAAAGTTCATGAAAACTCCTACTATGTTCTAATTTCATGGAGTCCCTATTCAGTCATTTGAGTTGTGTCCAAATCTCCATGACTCAATTTGGGGTTTTCTTGGCAAGGATACTGGAGTAGTTTGCCATTTCCTTCTTCAGCTCATTTTACAGATGAGGAAACTGAGGCAAACAGGGTTAAGTGACTTACCCAGGGTCACAGCTAGTAAGTGTCTGAGGTTAGATTTGCATTCAGGAAGATGAGTCTCTCTGATTCCAGGCCTGGCATTCTTTTCACTTCACCACCTAGTTGCTGTAGGAGACTATAAATTCTCTTTAATGAACTACATAATTACTTAGACTATTTTGCTATTCACATGGAGATGCAAAGTGGATGAATAATACATATTGCCCCAAACATAACAGCTCCTCTGCACATAAACTTATTGGACCAGTGTAACAGATGGACAATAGGCCAGGACCAGAATTAAATAGAAAACTAGGCTTGATTTTTTTCTGGTGGGAGGAGGTCAGGGAAATGTAATTGGCTGGGTTGGTCCCCTGGTAGTTTAGGTCTGAAACTAGAATGAAAGGAAACACTTGTAATTGATCGAACAACGAACAAAAAAAGGTTCACTTAGCTAAAGCAGGGGCAAGACATTAAGAGCAGGGAAGACTTGAGTACAACTTCCTAGGGTTATTCAGACATCCAGTCTATAGCGTGAAGCATCAGGGTATACTGGTTGTTTTGTATCCACGTGACCAGGAAGCTCTGTTAATGGCCCCAGCCTTAGTCCCCTGAACCAATTAAATCTCAAAGATAGTTTCAAAATCTTTTATTATTTATTTATTTATTTATTTATTTATTTTAGGCAATTGGGGTTAAGTGACTTGCCCAAGGTCACACAGCTAGTAAGTGTCAAGTGTTTAGTCTGAGGCTGGATTTGAACTTAGGTCCTCCTGACTTCAGGGCTGGTGCTCTATTCACTGTGCCACCTAGCTGCCCCCCTCAATATCTTTTAAAGAAAAAACTGGTCTAACTTGAAAGGGGGTAGGGATAGAGGTGGTGGTGGTTTAACATTGTCCTTACTACAGAAGGGCAAGAGACAGACCTTTAGTTTAATCAGCATAGGAAATGTCCTTGGGTTGAATCTTGCTTTCCTTATGCAGAGAGGCAGTTGTCCATTTCCTAGGGTAGGGGGTGGGGTGAGGAGGAGACAGAGATTAAATCACTTGCCTAATTTCATGCAGCTAGTATTTGTCTTAGGTTGCACTTGAACACAAGTCCTCATGATTCTGAAGCTGGCTCTTTATGTACCAAACCACAATGCTTTTCATAATTGCATTCGAGAAATGGCACTGAGCTTTCAATGGTTTCAAATTGCTAAATGTTTTGTAAGTCCATTTTTTTTTTTTAATACTAATATTCTCCCAATGGTGCTATATGGTTGAGAGTCATAGAATATCATACTCTCAGGAGAATAAAAATTACAGGTAACAAAGGGTGACAGAAAGATTCAGTGGGGATGAAGTGAGGGGAAGCACAGGATGCAGACAAAGATAATGTGAATGATAAGTGGCATAAAATACATTATTGAGGACATTTACTACTCCATCCCCTGCCCTCCTCATCCCCTAGAGGTAAGCTGGTTATGTTTTAAGAGTGATGATGTATAGCAACAGAAAGCTGCACTGGTTCCCATAAGACATTGAAGGAACAAATGGAAAACCTCCTAGACATTGGGTTGCTCCTCGATGGAGGATCCAGGCAAAGACATGGACAAGTTGTTCAGTTATTTTCAGTCATGTCTGAATCTTCATGGCCCCATTTGGGGTTTTCTTGTCAAAGATACTGCAGTGGTTTGCCATTTTCTTCTCCAGCTTCTTTCATAGATGAGGAAACTGAGGCAAACAGAGTTAAGTGACTTACCCAAGCCCATATAGATAGTAAGTATCTGAGGCTAGATTTGAACCTAGAAAGATGAGTCTTCCTGACTTCAGGCCCAGCATTCTATCCACTATGCCACTCAGCTGCCCCTAAAATCCCATAGGATTTGCAAATCTAGAACGGATTGGGATCTATACTGGTAGAAGTAGATGCCAGCATTAGTAAGGTTATGTATCCATCAAGGTATATTCAAGATTCAGTTCAAATTCCATCATCTCCAGTCAGCCCATAATAATCTCTTTTTCTTCTGATCTCTGGGCTTATTTGCTGTTCTTAAAAGTAAGGGACCTAGCCCAGACTAATTTGTATTGTTTTTCTTCATGTGAGGCCCTTGAGGGCAGTGTCAAGTATTATCCTGTCCCCATTACAGCGAGGGCCCAGCTCAGGGCCTCACACAAGGAAGCTACTCAGTAAATGCTTGATGACTGACTGGCAGTAATAAGCTATGTTATTAGCCCAGTTTAACTGCGGATATTTCCCTGTTCAGGGGTGGATTAGCTTCTTATCTAGAAACAGTTCTGAGGCTGTTTGAAAGCCTGGACTTTGCTGAAGTTTTATTGGCTCAAATCAATGCTCTCCCTGACAGGCAGGACCCTCCCGAATGTAAAACAAACAAACAAAAAAACCCCAAAACCAAAAAAAACAACCACGGAAAGAAGGGGGAAGACCACATCCCCAGTGGCTGATTTCTCCTTGGTTTAATGGAGTTTGACTCCCTGATCAGTTTCCAAAGATCTGAGATCTTTGGCCTTGAAGATTAGGGACAAAGAGAATTATGGGATGATCTGCTGCTGCATTGAATTTTGATTACTCCACATTAAGAGGCCTGGAAGATTAAATTTTGTTCAATATATACACTTTGGAAATGAAATTACTTTTAGAGCCAATGGGGTGGAGGTGGAGGAGAAAATCCATTTAAAATTGCCATTTTGCTGGTTAACTTTCCTCAAAATTGTCACTGGGCCCTATGTGTATCATCAGCAAGGAAGTTGCTCTGGCTCTCAGGACAAAGAGAAAGCATCAAGCCCAGGGCTCCTGAGGACCCACGAGGAACCAGCTACTTAAGATTTTGGCCATAGCCCCAGAACGGGAAAGGAAAGGTCACAAGGCTACCAGCAAAGGGAAATTCTCATCCACAGAAAATTCCAGCTTGCTTTCTGAAGCCTGCAATCATTATCTGTCCAGGAACACCTTGGAGCGACCCGCTCTTGACCACTTGCTGCCTTTGGAGGGTCTGGAGGGATGCTTAGAGAGTTCCTGACCTTTCTGAAAGTTACCAGGATGGGTGTGTGTGGAGATGTTGATTCATTGGCTATTTTTAATTGCTTATAAGAATAATAATTACTTTCTAGTAAATCACCTTGTATCCCAGTTTTAGGAGGAATCAGATAATTGCTAATAGGTTCTAAATTGGATCAATGTATTGGAGATGTCTGGTAGGTGACCGGCAGTTTTGGAATAATCTCAAAAAGCAAAGCCCTGGGAGAATTTTTGTGTGACATCCTAAGTATTATCATCCCTTTACATTTGTCTAATGCTGGCTTCAGGGGTTTCTCTCTCTTACACCTTCCTGAAATGCATCTGAAACCATAATGCATTTGAGGGTTTGCTGTTTTGACTGCATTTGGGTAAACTGGTTGTAAAAGGGCAGTGAATTGAGTTTTGGTCCTGGCTGCACCACAGACTTAGTGTGTGTTGTCTGGGACAAGTCATTTCCTTTCCCTGGACCTCCTTAGTTTCTCCAACTGAAAATAAGGAACTTGAACTAGATTTCGAAGGTGTTTTCCAGTTCTAAGTAATTGTGCCTCTGTGAATCAATCACTTAGCCCTTGTGTGGAGCTACAAAACCATTACAGATTTTGTAGGCTTTAAAAGGTGCTTCCTGGCCTAACTGCATTATACAGTGTTAGCCTGGATGTACCTGAACCAAAATCTGTAGCCTACGGCACAAATCTTTTTTTAGAGAAAGGATCCATCCATATAACTCAGAATAAGTATAATAAGTATGATAGAACTAAGGAAGGATGGAAGATGAAGAATGTGTGTTGAAAGCCATTGAAGTTTGTCTTTGACATTGGACACTCCACTTTTGACTACTTAAGAAGCATCCTGGCATGGTGCTGGACCCGTAAGAAAGACCTTGGGTTCAAATCCTGCCTCTCACACATACTAGCTACGGAACTCTGATCAGATCACTTAACCTTTCTGAGCCTCAATTTCCTCATCTGTAAAAATGAGGGGATTGGACTTGATGGCTTCTAAGGTCCCTTCCAAATCTCAATCTATGATCCTAGGGCTTTATGATGTACCTGATGTAAGTGAGAGCTATTAACCCAGTTTTACAGACAAAGAAAGTGTTTTTCAGTCTTAAAGTGCTATATTAGGAGCAGTGCTTAGAAATTGCAGAGATGCAGATTTGGGATCAGTGTAAGGAATTAGAATGGGATAAGTACATTACCTCTCATTGGAAGTTTCAAGTGGAAACTGGATGGACACTTACGGGTGATATTGTAAAGGAAATTTCTGATTGGTTTAGGTCAGAGATATTAAACATGCAGCCCAAAGGCTTCATGAGGCTTACAGTACTCTGGAATACAGCCAGATGAAAATGTAATTGGAAAATAATTAATGAAATAAATTTAAACACAATAGAACATAGATAATTTTAATATGCTGTTTTCTAAGTCAATATGCAGTCCACAGGTGTCCTTATGTATGCTTTAGTGCCTACCTCCTCTCCTTTCTATTTGCATTTGATGACACTGGAGGAGATAACTTCTAAACTCCCTTGCACTCTGAGATATTATGATTCTATGATAGAAATGTGTTATTATTTTCAGATCAAGGCATATGTAGGTAACATTCTTTTTTTTCCTTTTTTTTTTTAGGCAAGTGGGGTTAAGTGACTTGCCCAGGGTCACACAGCTAGTAAGTATCAAGTGTTTGGTCTGAAGCTGGATTTGAACTCAGGTCCTCCTGACTTCAGGGCCGGTGCTCTATCCACTGCGCCACCTAGCTGCCCCATGTAGATAACATTCTTAAAAGACTGCTTGGGCCTCCTTAGGCGTTAAGTGACATGCTCTGGGTTACACAGCTTGTATGTGTCAGATGAGGGAATTGAACCCAAGTCTTCCTGACTCCAAAGCCCTGTCTACTAGGTCAGGCTGCTTCATGTGTATATGTGCATGCATGCATGCATACACACACGCACACACACATATGCATATGCACATATACATGCATGTTTAATTCTTTAAATCTTAGACATCAGCTCTCCTACATTCTTTTCATCTCACAGGGCTGTTTCCATATTTTGTTCCCTTGGCTTCCTTTAGAACTTTAAACATTTGTCTCCGGACCCTATTCTGCCTAGTTTGTCTCCCAGATCACCCTTCCCCAGACCCAGTGGTCCTGGGTATCCCAGAGCAGATGGAGACTTTGGAACAGCCAAGTGTCTGCATCCATCCCTGGTTGCAGGGATGAAAGAGCAGGAGACGAGACGGAGAGGCGACAGAAGGCCAGGAGGGGGCAGCGTTGAGAAACAGCAGCCCGGTACTCTCCTAGGGAGGGAGGAGTCGAACAAAGCCCTTTGTAGGGGCTCCGAGCTCCGCTGGGACTGGGAAGGCAGTGTCAGCAATTCGGAACCTCCCAGAATGTGTTCTATGCCTGAAGAATTCATTAGGAAGGGAAGCCTCCCGGCCCGCCTCTGGTGGCATGGCTGGGTCGTTCCATATGGAAAGCATCTCATGAATTGTTCATGTTTCCTCCGTGATTGAAGCACCGTTCCCCGGCTGCAACGTGGTCCAGCCCTGGCATTCCTCCCCACTGGCTCATGCCCGAGATCCGCAGCCCACCCTCCTCTTAGAACTCTCACCTTTGCAGCGGGGTGAAGGCCAGAGGAGTGGGAGAAATCCCAGGCTAAATGCAGAGATCCTGAGCTGGGCTCCCCGCGAGGGGCTCCCCAGATGGGCTGGTTTAGTATCCCAGGCACGTCCGGACGCAGGGGAGGGGACGGGTTCCTGCGGAGGGGAGGCCACGTGGGGAAGCCCGAGGAAACTCTGCGGGACTGAGCCTGCCTGAAAAGAGATCCAAAGGGAAGCTGGTTACCTATATTCCTCTGCAAGCAATAAACCCCAGAGGAGGTGGGAGGAGGGCCAAGGGCAAAAGGGGATCAAACCTCTGGTGCTTGAGTTCTCTATGGATAATAAACTCCTCTATGCCAGGAAAGCAAATATTTCAGGAAGAGGTTCATAGGATCATTGGATGTAGGGGCCAGAGAGGGTTGGCTGAGGGCACACATATAGTGGAGCTGGATTCAAATTTATGAGGGAAACGAGATTTTCAAGACCCTTAGAGTCAGTTGGTGGGTGATTCGAAAAGTGCTTAACATAGGTCATTTAGTTTGATCCTTTTGACAACCCTGTGAGTTAGTTAGGTAAGAGTATTATCTCCACTGTTTGTTATTTGTATGATGGGCTAGTCATTTCATAACCTCACTTAATAGATGAGGAAACTGGGGCCCCAAATGTCGTAAAATCATAGAGTTGTAAGAAATCTTGTAGGCCCTCTGGTCCAAATCTCGCATTTTATTAACAATAATAATAGCTAGCATTTACATATCACTTTACAAATCTTATCTCATCTTATCCTCCCAACATCCCAGGGAGGTAGGTGCCATAATTATCCTCATTTTACTGTTGAGGAAATGGAGGCAGACTGAAGACAAGTAACCTGCCTGGGGTTACATAGCTAGTGTCTAAGATTAGATTTGAACTCATCTTCTTGACTCCAAGTCTAGACCTCTATCCACTGTGCCACCTAGAACTGGGGCCCAGAGGGGTTGAATGGTTTAAGCTTATACAGGTAAATTGAATGGCATATCTTCGATTTGAACCCAGTCCTTTGGCTCCAAATCCAGTAATCTTTCCATTGTCAGTAAAGATCTTTCCAAGGTCTCTGCTGACTCTAAATCCCACTACCCTATTACCCCCAATTTACACCAAGAAAACTGAGACTTAGATAAGGTGACTTTCCCATGGTGGCCCAGCTGGTGGTGGAGTAAGGTCTCAGACCTATGTTTTCTGGCTCTTTCTTAATTCAGGGCTTTCACCACAGTCTACTTAGGAAGCTAAGACTCACATATGGGAAACAATACAAGGCAAAGGATAAGAAACTAACAAATGATGTGATTCACTCTAGTCTTTCCCCCTGAAATATTCATTTCCCCCATCTCTTCTTGTTGAAATTCTATTGTTCTTTCCCAGCTCAGCTCAAATGCCCCCATCTACTCTATGAAATCTTCCTTGATACCTTAAAGATGAAGGGACTCTTCCTGATTTGGTGCTCTCAGGGTATGTAACATTCATGCCTCTCTTAAATACTTATTACATTCTATTTCATATAGGATTACAAATCTAGAGCTAGAAGGAACGTCAGAAGCCATCCAGTCTGACTCCGTCATTTTAAAGAAGGGGAAACAAGGCCAGAGAGTTCAAGTGGTTTGCCCAGGGTCACATAGGTAGAAAGTAACAAAGGTGGATTTGAACCCAGGTCTTTTGACCCGGAGTCAGTGATCTTGCCACTGTACCACACTGACTCCTTATACTATAACGTGTCCATGATTCATGGACCTGATTAGCCATTGAGATACCTGGAGTCAGAGAATGTGTCTTATTTCAAACAATAGTGCATTGGCCAACCTTGGAGCTTCATCCTTTCTCCAGTCTCGGGCTATGTACCCAATGATCAGAGTCTCGTAATATTACTTGTTAGTGATATTGCTATCCCATCGTGGTGTGACCTAGGGCTCTGGGAGGGCCTCACTTCAGGGTTCCTCTCCTCACATCTCCCAGGCCTCCTCAGGGTGGACTTCTCCCTGGAGTCCAAGTGCCCTTTCCTGAGAACTCAAAAGCAAAGAACACCCATTAGGCGCTTTGTAAGAGGCAGTGGGAAAAGCCTTAGATTGAGGGTTGAATGACTTGGATTTTAGCCTGGGTTCTGCCTTTGTGACCTTGGTCAAATCACTTCTACTTATGAAGAAACCGAGGCCTAAGGATGTTAACAATCTCTGAACAAGAATAGTGAGAGGTACTAAGTAGCACTGCTGTAATTTGAACCCAGGTCAACAGATCAGACCTAGGCTTCTTCCCGCTGTACATGGTGACCTTGCCTCATCCCGGCACAAGAGCTGTGTGACCTTGAGTGAGTCACACACCCTTAATAAGCCTCAGTTTTCTCATTTGTGTGTAACAAATGGGGGTCAAAATAGTTGGTATCTGAGACCTTCTCCAGCTTTAACATTCTGTGATTCTGTGACTGGTTATTTTGTGATGCAGCAGGAACCCTGCTGGGGGTGGTGAGGGGGGTGTGCTGTGGAGGGAAGCTGCAGCAGGGAGAGAATCCTGCAATGACATTTCACTTTGCAGCCGATTCTACTGCTGCATTGCAACGGGAAGCATTTGGTCGGTCAGAAGAACCGCTAGTCTGAGCCAGGACTGCCCACCATCCTGCTCTTTTCTTCTGTTCCTTGCTCTTCCAGTGGAGTCTGCCTTGTACCCTGCAGGGTCATCTTCCCAGCTCTTTCAGCTGCCTGACAGCAGCTCAAATACTTCTAGAAAAGGGGTTCTTAACCTTTTTTTGTGTCCTGGACGCAGGGAAAGTCAATCTGAACCTGGGGTTGGGATGGAGGTGGGCACAACAGACATGTATGCCGGGTCTAGGGTATAACTGGCCAGGTGAGAAGGCTAGGAATCATGAGCTGTGGGCTTCGGAGTGGACAGTTTGGCAAAGCTTACAGACCCCTTCTCAAAATGTTTTTAAATCTGTAAAATAAAATGAATAAAATTACAAAGGAAACCAATTATTACTGGAATTAATTCTATCTATTTATCTGTCTATCTATCTTAAAAGCAGGGTCATGGCCCCCACACAGACTCCTGGCCATCCACACTCAAAGACTGAAAAGGAGCCTTCAACTGTGATTGACATGTCAATGAGCACCAGGCATCAGCCACCTAAGTGGTTTGGCTAACATATTAAAACCGCAGGACGCCAATTCAAACAAGTAAGATCAGCTTCCCTTTCTCTGTGGGGTACAGGGATATTCCCTCCTCGGCTGTTTAACAGTTCCCTTTGCTTCCATATTTTGGCTATTTCAGGGTGTTGTCCCACTCTGAAGCCCAGAGCTCGTGAATCCTAGCCTCCTTAATTAACCAGAGATATACCCTAGACCTGGCATACACTTCTGTTGTGTCTTCTCCCATCCCTGTCCCAGGTTCAAATGGACTTTCCCTGGTATGTCTCTGCCTGCTTCTCTCTCTCTCTCTCTCTCTCTTCTCTCTCTCTCTCTCTCTCTCTCTCTCTCTCTCTGACTCTGTCTGTCTGTCTCTGTCTGTCTGTCTCTCTGTCTCTGCCTCTGTCTCTCTCTCCCATACCTTCCTCTCCCTCTCTAACTTTTCCTTCTGATTCAACCTCTCCATATTTGACACTCTTTTCTTCCCTCCATTTCTTCTCCTCTTTCTCTCCCTCTTCTCTTTTGTTTTACCCTCCCCCCACCCCCTGCCTCTTCAATCCCAGTTTCCTCATCTAAAATGAAGGGGTTGGAAAAATTACGACAAAGGCCCCTTTTTGCTCCCAAACCTGCGATCCTGTGGTCTCTATCTCAGCTTCTTTCTCCTTTTCTCCCTACCTCTCTCCTGTCTCCCTCCCCTTTTGCGCCTCTCTCTCTCTGTCTCTCTCTCTGTATTTCTCTCTCAGTCTGTCTCTCCCACCCTCCCACTCCCTCTTTACTCGCCCTCTTTCCTCCCTCTGGAATGTACTGGCTCTCTGCATTCTTCTGGATTCAGGCGCCTGGCTTAAATGCTTTGACACTTGTCTTACTGTTGGAGACTTTGCCACTTGTTCCCGGGACTGCACGTTGGGAGTGTGTGCAATGCAGCATTTGTCCTCTGGCTAGAGAAACAGGACGCCCTTTTTTGTTTTTTTGGCTCAGCACCTGTCGATGCCTCTCACATCTAGTCCTTGCTGAGGGTAGAATTGGTTCTTTGGGGACTTCCTTTGACTTTGCAGACATTTTATTTCAGGGTGAGGTCCTTGTGTAGCCCTTGGGATCAGTGTAAATATAGCTTACAGGATCATATGAGCTCAAGCTGGCAAGGGACCTTAGAGATGGTCTAGTTCAGGGGTATTTAACCTTGTTTGTGTCATGGACCCCTTTGGCAATCTGGGAAAGCCTAAGGATTTCACAGAATAATGCTTGACTGTCTACATTCATAATGAAAAGAAATGCTCAATTTCAGTTAGAGATTACTGAAAATAAAGATGTATTTTACCCCATTCAAATTCACAGGCCCTCTGAAATCTCTCCGTTGACACTTTGAGGGAGTGTGAACCACCATTTAAAAATCCCTGGTCTAGTTCAACCCCTTCATTTTACAAACAGGGAAACCAAGGCACATCGAAAAGAAGGAATTTGTCCATAAGGACCTCAAAGCTATGAAGGAATAGTAGAGACCAATGAATGTTCCCCAGACTGCTATGTCCATAATGAGTTGGCTAAAAAAGGACAGACAGACAAAGTGACCCTGAGGACCCTCTTCTCTCTTTTGCTCCTTATTCCTTGGAACTTCTCATATCATTCAGGTATGAATAAGAGAACTGGTCTAATCCTTATTTCTAACAGACAGTTACTTGGTCAATAAGAAATAATTAGAGTTTGCTTTGAAAAATGACTGCTCTCCAGCCACTCTGCCAACCTTTTACTGGGAAGACAGGGACTACATCTTATTAGAATTGGAGGACCTACATTAAAATATTGGCTTTGTCATTTGCTGTCTGTTCAACCTTTTTTTTTTTTTAACATATCTGGGACTCAGTTTCTTTATATATAAAATGAAGGGATTGGACTCGATAGTCCCCAAGTTTCCATCCAGCAGAAGCATCCTACAAATTTATATTCCTCCTACATTGTCCTTGCGGGCAAGTGCAGGGCTGAACACATGGAA